CAGCCAAACCACTCACTTCCTGGGCTACCTTCTACCTGTTCCTGTCGGCCCTGTCTGCAGCTGCTCCCTGCTGCCTGGGGGCTCTCCCCTGCCCTGTTTGCTGCTTTTCTGTGCCGCTTATTTTAGTTAAAAGGGAGCAGTGTTTTGTGCTAAGATTTTGTTAGCCTCAGCTTTTTTTTTTTTTAAAAAAACAACTTTTTATTGCTGTTTGGGTGTGTTCACAGAGGGCATTTGCTCTTCACTCAACAGGCACCCAGGTAGATGCCGCACAGTAGGTGGCAAAGCCTTGACCAGCTGCGTGAGGCCCGAGGGCCTCTCCAGGCTCCTCAGGGCAGTGCGCACCCTCTGTCTTTCTGTGTGACAGTGTTGGCCTCAGCCTGACGATATGAGAGAAGGATGTCCTCTGGGGGAGGATTGGGAGGACGGACGACAAGGAGCAGTAGGGGCGGAGTGTGGACCGCGAGTCCCTCAGCCCGATGGAACCTAAGCGCTCTCCTCAGGTCCCTCTGTGTTCTCACTTCACTCTTGCCTTCGTTCACTCATTCGCAGATGGCGTCATATGTTTCTGTTGTGTGTTCACTGCGTGGTGGGCGCGGTGCCGGGGTATGAAAAAGTAGACAAGTAAGGCCCCAGGCCCACTTGGCTTCCTGCTGTCTCCTGGGCCACTGTGGTGTGGGGTGACCCTGCTTGGCCCTCGCCTCTCCTGCTGCCTGCTGCTCTTCTTAGCCCTGTGAAGGCCCAGCGTTGAGTTCTCTTCCTAACTGTGGAGCCAGCCCTGCCCCACTGTGGGGCCCTGGGTGTCACTCGGCTTCCTGGCGCCTTAGGCTCCCGTTGGGAAAATGCAGAGAACGAGGGATGGACCTCCTTGGGTTGTGATGAGGGCAAGCCACAGGAATTGGGGTGTACAGCCCTAGAATGGACTGCACCGGGCCCATGTATCTGCCCTTTGTAATTGGTACTGTTCCTTGTTTTCCTCATTTGTGGTCTGGATGACTCTGGAAGTCTCCCTAAATCTGGCTTAACCCATTCCAGCTTAACCTGTTCCCCTAGCTCTGGGCCACACTTTCCGGTTCTTCACGAAACACAACCACTGGGTTATCCCACGAGGCATGGAAACATGAGACACACTGATGTTACTCTCTGAACTGCTGGTGGAGTGCAGCCACACGAGACAGAGCGGCTGCCCCCAGCCCAGTGCTGCTGCTCCTGCCCTGCTCTGCTCTGAATTCTCTTACTGTGACTTCCTGATGTCAGCCAGAGCACTGCCTCCTCACTGTGCCAGCTTGGCCACTGGTCAGTTGTCCTCGCCGTCCTAGGCCAGCTGTCTGTACTCCCTGCTGTCCTGGGTTGGCTGTTGGTCTGTGTCCTTGCCACTCCTGGCCGGCTGCCAATCAGCGGTCCTCGCTGTCCTGGAGTAGCCGCCGGTCAGCGGCCCTTGCTGTCCTTGCTCAGCCACCTGTTAGTGCTCCTTGCCATGTTGGGAGAGCCACCGGTTGGTGGTCCCCACCTTACCGGCTTGCCTGCCTGTCGGTGGGGACTCGCTCCTGCACTGGCAGCTCTGGCCTCAGGTTGTAGGGAACCACTGACCACTGGGAGCCTCATGAGCTCTGCCCTGGGGGCTTCCTGTGCAGTTGGTTTGCTTTGAAGACGACAGCAAACATTCATATCCCACTCAGACTGGTTGTGAGCATGCCTGGTGTCAGTGTGGATCCTGCACGTGCTGTCAGCAATCTACATGTCATGAGTGTGAGTGTGGATCCTGAGTGTGCTGTCAGCGTGCCCCATGTCATGGGTGTGAGTCTGGATCTTAAGCGTGCTCTCTGCATGCCCTGTGTTGGGGGTGTGGATCCCGAGCCTGCCGTCAGCGTGGCCCATGTCATGGGTGTGAGTCTGGATCTTGAGCGTGCTGTCTGCGTGCCCCGTGTTGGGGGTGTGGATCCCGAGCGTCCCGTCTGCATGTGCCCCGTGTTGTGCAGAGGCCTGGTCCTCTCTGGCCAGTCGTCCAGCCCCCCTACTCTGCAGCCCAGCGTTCTGGGTGTCCTTCCCATCTGCTTCACGGTTAATGAACGGTGTTTGAGGTTCGGCACTTGTCGGCGCCTCCCCTTTCCAGGGGCAGTGTCTCCATGATCCCTGGTGGACGATTACAGAGTCCTCATCCATCCTTTCAGGGTCTTGCCCAGCAGGCACCAGCTGACCTTTTGGCCTTTTTGCCTTATTTTAACGTAGAGTCTTGAATGTAATCCAAACTGAATTTCATCTTTGACAGTGGCTTTTACTCTCTTGCATTGTTTGTGTTATCTTGTTCTCCACCTGACAAGCTCCATCATCCCCCTTGGCCAGTTGTGGAATTTCATCACTGCTGTCTTTCCTCAGCTGGTGGGATCTATTACTCTCCCTCTCTCTACTCCTGTTCGGTTATAATAGCTCTCGTGCCTCTGTCCTGCTGCCCAGTGGCTGGGGGACAAGGGCTGTGTCTTTCTTGGTGGCCCTTGTAGTGTCTGTGACAGTGATTTCATTCAGATTCTTGCTCAAGGTCAGCAGGAAGCCTGCTGAAAGAGCATGGAGGCGGCATCTTTGGACCTCCTCTAACTTCATAAGAGGAAGATAGAACCACCAGCAGCAGCCCAAGGCTTACTCCTGTGAGGCCACACATGCTGCCACCCTTCAGCCTTTTTACCAACTTTGACACCCACCTTCCCCCCCACAGCATTCACTACTTCTCTGCTGGCTTCTATAATTCATTGCAATGGCCACACAGAACTCACAGAGAATACTCGGAATTGTGGGGTTTATTAGGGAAGTGACAGGCTACAGTTCAGGTTCAGGAACGTGCTCAGGATACGATTCTTTGATCAGGACAGTCTCCCCTCTGCAGTGCCCTCAGACACTCCTCTCTGGTCCTTGGCCTCTTGGCCTGGCCTCTGCCCTGCTTGGGCAAGTGTTACAGAGCTCTTTTAGCTCTGCCTATAGGCCCATCTAGGTGCATCCCACTCCATCAGCAAGCTCCTGCCCTGGGGTGCTCTGCTTTCTAGCTGTGTGGGCCAGGTCAGCCTGCCATTCTGTCTCATGCCTCTTGGCTCCACTGGGACCGTCTTTCTGCCGGGGTGTCTCTCTGCCAGGGCATCTCTCTTGCACAGGGATCTCGGGTCCAAGGATGCGCTCCCCTTCACCTCCAGCTCTTCTCTCTTGATGGCAGTGAGATCCCCCCACACACACCTGTAAGAGGCCTGGCAGAATGACAGAAGTAATCATTTCCAGTATCAGAGTTCTACACCTTAGTTGCATGGTCCCAACTAGTAATCCGGTGGGACTTACAAAGACATAGGAAGTAATTCATTGCACCGCAAAGCCTTTGAGGGTTTCTATACAGGGTTTCTATACAAACTCCTTTGAGGGTTTGTACATGGGAGCGCGTCCCTTTGAGGGTTTCTACGGTAGCTTAGTGCCTAAGGCACTTGACTGCTAACCAGAAGACTGGCGGTTCAAACCCACCAGCCACTCCTTGGAAGGAAGGTTGGACAGTCTACTTCCTTAGTGATACTGCCTCAGAAACCCAAGCAGGGGTCTCTGTGAGTCAGGTCTGACTTGACAACAATAACAGTATACGGGAGGGTGCCCCTTTGAGGGTTTCTACACAGGAGAGCACCCCTTTGAGGGTTTGTATACGGGGAGGGCACCCCTTTGAGGGTTTCTGTATGGACAGGGCACCCCTTTGAGGTTTTGTATATGGGGAGGGCGCCCCTTTGAGGGTTTCTGTACGGAGAGGGCACCCCTTTGAGGGTTTGTATATGGGGAGGGCGCCCCTTTGAGGGTTTCTGTATGGGGAGGACGCCCCTTTGAGGATTAGTATGCGAGGAGGGCAGCCCTCTTTGGAAGAAAAATGTCTGAAGGTCACATTGCTGCAGTAGGGAGGAAGAGGAAGACCAGAGTAGGTGAAGGCTGGAAGGCAGATTGAGACGAGAATTGTAGCGGTGGACTCGAAACCAATGGCAGATGCAAAACTGAAGACCAAGCTGGTTGTCACCAGGTTGATCCCGACTCGTGGCACCTGTGTTTGAGAGGGGAGGGGTGCTTTATCAGGTTCTCAGTGGCTGGGGTCTTTTGGAAGCAGGTTGCTGGGCCTTCTGAGGTGCCTCTGGGTGGATTCAAACTGCCACCCTCTAGGTTAGTAGCCAAGCACTTCCCCATTAGCATCACCCAGGGACCCCAACGGACAGGTCCCGATAACATTGTAAAGGAATCATCAGCAAGTCCACTGGTTATTTTAGCATGGGGCAGGGGCTGAGAGGGCAGTGGGAAAGGAGGGCTGTCCGGGGCAAGATCCTGGACCTCACCGTGGGAGTGGGTTGTCGTCAACGGTGCGACTGACGATGGGGAGCGGAAGCTGTGAGGGCCGGCGCAGCTTCCTTAAAGACCTGTGGTTGTTAGAAGGCAGTTTGGTGACACAGTGACCCCTATGTAATACATACGTGGTGTGTGAATTTTAGGACTTGATTACCATTCAGGGACTGTTTTACAAGCTCCTGTCTCTGCGTGGAGCACGGCATGTAGGACCTAGCCTTCGTACTCTGAAGGGTACTTCTGGGCCGTGGGATACACGGAGCAGGTCCGTGGGCTTGCGGGCAGGATGAGCGCAGTTACGGTGGACAGTCCCCGAGAGGGAAATGAAGTTGGGAGGTACATCCCAGAGTGTGGAAAGAAGAGATCTTCAAGGCCACGGGATGATTGAGTCTGCAGGGCAGGGAAGCAGGGAGTTGGAATTGGGCTGGTGGGCGAGGTGAGGGGCATGCGGAATGGCAGCCCTCCGGGAGCGCGTGGAACACGGCAGGTCCGTAGAAGCAGGTGTTTCTTTTTGGTAAGAAAGGAAACACGATACGGAGTTGACATTACTTCGGAACAAATAAAAATCCAACGCTGTGTGGAGTTTCTAATGCTAACATTCTATCGAAGTGCAAGTGTTCTTTCTTAGGGTTTTAATTTTGAATGGTAATGTGTTCCAGGGGGCACTGGATCTGTCTGATGGACATTCTCCGCCGAAATCGCCAGAAGGAAAAACAGGCTCAGGTCCAAGTAAGGTAGGTTGCCCAGGCTGCAGGGGTTCCGGCCTGCTGCACAGCTCTCCCCTCTCTGGTCCCCGTGGGTGCAAGTTCTGTTGTGGTTTTGTCACACAGGGCCCTTTGGTGCTTGAAATTGTTATTTTTCCCTCTCCCTTAGTTAGATATTTTAAAAAGGTAACTCTTGTGCTTTGTTGGTAGATTTTGAATTTTACATCATCAAAACGAAGGCTGCTGAGTAACAGGTCTGTAGATTCTCTGACTCTGGACGCATGGGGCGGGTTTTGTCGTCCGTGTCACAGAGGCTCACTGATAGCTCTTAGTGTGAGACTGTTTGGCTCCAGGGTAGGAGCCTGTTGTGGCTCATGTCCTTCACCGTTACTCAGCTGACCAGATGAGGACTTGGGAATCCTGATGCTTTCTGTGCTGTTGAGCTGTTGTGGTGGCATCTATGAGATAGTCTGTGTGCTCTGGTTACGTTTTACTTTCTTGTTCTTTTATGTAAGAGTTGATTTATTTCTTGAGTCCAGGGATTTGGCATATGGAGAAAAAAATTGGGTTGACCCCTTGAATTTAAAATGAAGGATACGTGTACCAGTAGCCGGAATGGGTAAAGCAGGTGGGAAATGTGCCATCTCCTGGGATTGGCTCCAGGGCTATAGGAGTTGACAGCCTGCCAGACTCACACAGGTGTGGTCAGATCTGTGTTGTGTGACTGTCTGTCCTCGGATGTCCATTCTGTGAAACGATGGTGATGCTGCGATGGGTGGGCCGTAGACTCTGATTTAGTGCAGGTTACGTCTTAAGCAGGTAGGCTTGGAGAAGGCGCTGTCTCTGCCAGATTTTTCCCTTCCTTACACATGTCTGGCACGGGACAGTGATGAGTGGCTATTGTCATCTGTTGCTTGTTTGACGTCACTCCTTTTAATGGATTTCAGTTTAGAAATCCAGAGGGCTTTGACATTGATTTCTGTGCAGGGAAAGAGACTGTCCTACTGTTAGAGTTGGCCCTTCGGATGTCTGGCCGGCCTCTCCTGAGAGGGAAGCCCCTTTTCAGAAGGTGCCAAGGGAGGTAATAGGCACCTACCGGGACAAGGTCATGAGTAAAGTTTAAAAAAAAAAAAGCAAATGAAACAACTTTAGTTTATTGCTGGATGTAAAGAGCCTTTATAAACACCCTGCTCTTTGTGATGCTCTGGCTGTGGAGGGGTTGACCAGCGTGATGGCCAGCACCCCTGAGCACAAGCAGCGTCTGGGAGCCACTGGGGCTGTTTGAGATGTCTCCTTTCAGTAATGTGAAAGCCGTGGTCATCTTCCACCTTTGGCATCTCCATAATAAAATGTAGATGTGTTTTTTACATATCCTTCACGCTACATAATTATTTTTTAAAGATCCAAAGATTATGCTGAGAAAATTAAGTCTTTAAGTCAGTATACGTTGCCTAAATAGTCCCAGAGAAGTGATGGTGACTTTAAGGCTGACTTTGAAAATGGTACTCTGTCCTCCAGGAGACCCACATTTTAATGTTTTTCAGTTTAGTCTCCATTTTAGGCCCCGGTCAGCATTATGAGCCTAGGTGGTGCAGTTTTTAAGCGTGTGGCTGCTAACCAGAAGGTTGGCAGGTTGAACCCACTAGCTGCTCCACAGGAAAACATGTGGCATTCGGCCTCCGTGAAGACTGTTCCACTCTGTCGCTGTGGGGCGCTGTGGGTCGGAATGGACTCCACGGCAGTGGGTGTGGTTTGGGCTTTGCCTCTGTAAGATTGACGTCCTTGGAGACCCTGTGGGCAGTCCCACTCTGTCCTCTAGGGGCGCTGTCGGAATGGACTCCAGGCAGTGGGTGTGGTTTTAGCCAGCATTACAAATCTGTGAAGTCTAAGGGTCATGGAAGTACCGCAGGTTATCCCTGGTGGGGCGGGACTGGACTTTGTTTGAAGTGAAGGCCTTAGTTTCCCTGATCCTGAGGAATCCCAGTTAGGGATCCCAGTACTGTCTTCACCCCCCTTTTGCCAGCTTCCTTCTACCTCTCAGTCTTTGCTTCATTTTGGGCTCTAAGGAAAATGGACCTCGTCAGTTTTGAGAGCCAACAGAGAGCAGTGGGTGCTCTTAGGGAAGGTGTGACAAGAATAGGGTCTACCCCAGCCCCTAAGACATCAGTCTGTGCTCCTGAGGAGAGGATAAGGTGGGTCGGGACGCTTCCTCAAAGGCCTCAGGCCTGACTTACCTGGCGAGCTGCTGGTGGCCACTTTCTGGGGCTTCAGCACAGGACAGATGCTGGGAATGGAGGCCACAGTGCCTGCCAGGAACATGGTGCAGCGCGAGTTGGACCAACTGGGGAGGAGAGTTGAGAAAGGGCCAAAAACTGGGCCCCAAAGAAGACATGAAGTAGATCTTCCATTTTTAAGAACAATTTTAGTAGGCATTTTTATAAATTTGGATATGGGTTAGATTATTTAAGATTTCTACCTTATGGTAAAATGTCATTTTATTCTCGTGCTCAGATACCAAGGTATAAAGGACAAGGTAGAAAGAAGAGAAGCGGGGAGCAGTCTGGTGAAAAGGTAACATGCGTGAGGCTGTGAGTGCTGTGAGGTGTCCCGGGAGAGTGGCCCCGACCAGTCAGCGTGCTTTCCCTCACCCAGACCGGGCGCTCCGCTCCTGGCGGCCTGGCTCTTAGGTTCTACTCTGAGGTGCCACCTTCACGTCCCTGTCATCAGAATGGTGTCGAGTGACGGTGGCCTAGAACACAGTCATTTGACTTTGGGTTTTCATCCAGGTGAAAGTCACGCTGATACTAAAACAAGCTGTGCTGCAGTTTCTCCTTTAAGAGGTCCTGGCTTTACTGGCACTAAAGGGAGGGAAGGAGGCTGATTGCCTTTTGAATGGGTGGTCATTTTCCTGACACTGTGATTGCTTTCTGAGGGAACAGTTTTCCAGAGAGGCTCCAGTGGTTGCTTTGTCTCCTTCAAGGCACTTTTATCTGAGTTCAGTGACTGAGACTCTCACTGCATCCGCCTTAACCTGGCTGTAGAAACTGGGCCTCTGAGCGACGGTGACCAGGGTGGACACGGGTGAGGGCCTGCAGAGTGGCTCGGCATCAGGTGTCACTCAGACCTGCGTAGAGACACGTGTCACTCAGACTTACGTAGAGACTGGTGTCACTCAGAGCTACGTAGAGATTGTTGTCACTCAGACCTACTTAGAGATGTGTCACTACGTAGAGACGTGTGTCATTCAGACCTTCATAGAGACTGGTGTCACTCACATCTACATAGAGACGTGTTGAAAGCGTAATTCAACATAATTATGCATTATAATTTAAATGGGTAGAACTACAAACCGTATTGGTTTTTTTGTTGTTGTTGATGGGTTGAGAGACGAAATAGGTTGGCTGGAAGTTGGCACACAAGTGGACAGATACTCCGTGGGAGGGGTTTCCTTGTGGAATCACCATTCTGAAACATTGTTCATACTTTCTGACTTCCAAAGTGTCATCTGTAAGAACTTAATTTCACTTTAAACCCTTTTGTTGGACTGGACATTGTCCTAAGTTGGAGGAAAAATACACATAAAATGAATGATACCAGAATTTTGCTATTTTGCTAGAACCTGCTGACCTAGGTCTTTACCTTTCAGTTAGAAAAGCTGAGCAAGGCGTTAGGTGTTCTGGGTTTCCTTTTTGTTGTATTTATATGGTACATCCTGTCATAGTCACTGTAACATGACAGATCTTTTATACGCAGTTTCCAGTGTTTTAAAACTTACATGTGTTGAGGTACTTTTTGTTTCAGACACCTCTGAATTTATTTTTCCTTGTTTTTAAAATTCTGGAATGAGCCTGGCGTTGTGTGGTTTAGACTAGTAACAGTCACCTTGGGTATGTGTGTTTGGGAGGGAGGTGTGCTTCTCTGTAGTGTGCAGTCACTGCTGAACTCTGCGTATGGTGAAAGGATGCAGCCCTGACATACTCCTTCCTGATGTTAAACCACGCAGAGGCCCTTTGTTCTATTCAGACCACTGCTCTTGGTCTGTGTGTGGGTTCCTCATGAGCCCAATTCAGTGTTCTAGAATTTCCCTTCTTTGCAGTGTTACCCATCATTTGTTATGATCCACACAGTCAGATGCCTTTGTGTAGACAATAAGACACGGGTAAATCTTTCTGGTATTCTCTACTTTCAGCCAAGATCCACCTGGCATCAGCAATGATACCTGCCCTTCATTCCACATCCTCTTCTGAATCTGGCTTGAGTTGTGAAGATGGTGTAAGGCCGAGACTGTTTTGTTCTGCTGTGCATGGTACTGCTGGGAGTTGGAACTGACTCGACATCTCCTAACAACACCACAAACGGTGATCTTGTTGTTGGGTGCCGTCAGGTCAGTTCTGACTCTTAGCGGCTCCGCGTACAGCAGAAGGAACACTGCTGCCCTGGGCTTGGCCGTCAGCATATTCGAGACTGTCGTTGCAGCCAGCGTGTCAGCCCATCTCGTTGAAGGTCTTGCTCTTTCTCACTCGCCTTCTTTACCGAGCATGATGTCTTTCTCCAGGGACTTCTCTCTCCTGATACTGTGTTCAGATGTGAGGTGAAGTCTCACCTTCTCGCTTCCAAGGAGCTTTCTGGCTGCGCTATGCTCTCCAAGGCCGTTTTGTCCATTTTTCCGGTAACTCTCATTGCTGTCAGCTCGGACCCAACTCATAGCGGCCCCTCCTGGGGTTTCTGAGGTGGTATCACTACGGAAGTAGATTGCCCAACCTTCCTTCTGAGGAGTAGCTGGTGGGTTTGAACCGCCAGCCTTCTGGTTAGCAGTCAGATATCTTAGGCACTAAGTCACCAGAGCTCCTATTCTTCTGATAGTCTGTGGTATAGTAAATATTCTTTGCTAATACCATAATTGAAATGCATTGATTCTTCTTCAGTCTTCCTTATTCTTTGTCCACCTTTCGCATGTGTATGAGGTGGTTGAAAACAGCATGGCTTGGATCAAGTGTACTTTACTCCTCAAAGTGATATCTTCACGTTTTAATGCTTTTAAAATGTCTTTTGTAGCACATTTACCCAGTGCAATACATGATTTGATTTCTTGGCTCCTGCCTCCATGGGCATTGATTGTGGGTCCAAGCAGAATGAAATCCCTGACACCTTCAGTCTCTTCTTTGCTTTCATAATGCTGCTTCTTGGTCTAGTTGTGAGGATTTTTGTTTTATGTTGAGGTGTAGTCCACACTGAAGGTTGTAGTCTTTGATCTTCATAACCAAGCGCTTCAAGCAAGCAAGGTCCTATCATCTGCATATCACAGGGTGTCCGTGAGTCTTCCTCCAGTCCTGATGCCGTGTTCTTTCTATTGTCCAGCTTCTCGGATTATCTGCTCAGCATACCGTTTGGATATGTGAACGGATATAACCCTGACGCACACCCTACCTGATTTTAAACCATGCAGTATCCCCTTGTTCTGTCTGAACAACTTCTTTGTCTATGTACATCTTGTACATTGAGCACAATTCAGTGTTCTGGAACTCTCACTCTTTGCAATGTTACCCATCGTTTGTTGTGATCCACGTAGTCAGCTGCCTTTGCATAGTCAGTAAAACACAGGTGAACATCTTTCTGGTGTTCTCTGCTTTCAGCCAAGATCCATCTGACATCAGTGGTGATATGCCTAGTTCTGTGTCGTCTTCTGAATCCAACTTTAATTTCTGGCAGCTCACTGTTGATGTACTCCTACGGCCATTAAAATTTTTTTTTTTACTCGTGTGTAATATTAATGGTATTATTCAATAATTTTTGCATTCTATTGGATCTCCTTTCTTTGGTATGAGCACAAATACAGATCTTTAGTCGGTTGGCCAGATAGCTGTCTTCCAAATTTCTTGATATCCACGAGCGAGCGCTTCCACCATTGCATCCATTTGTTGAAACATCATTAATTTCTGGAGCCTGACTTTTTCACCAGTGCCCTCAGTGCAACCCAGCCTCCTTCCCTCAATGCCATCAGTTCTTGATCATATGCTGCCTCTTGAAATGGTTGAACATTGACTAGTTATTTTTGATACAGTGACTGTGTATTCCTTTCACCTTCTTTTGATACTTTTGCATCATTCAATATTTTGCCCATAGAATCCTTCAGTATTACAACTCAAGGCTTGACTTTTTTCTTCGGTTCTTTGAGCTTAAGAAATGCTGAGCATGTTCTTCCCTTTTGGTTTTATAACTCCAGGTCTTTGCATATTTCATTATAGTGATTGGCTTTGTCTTCTTGGGCCACCCTTTGAAATCTTCTGTTCAGCTCCCCCCCTGCCCCCCCGTTCAGCTCTTTCATTTCATCATTCAATTTAGCTGTTTTCTGTTATTCAGGATCAACTTGCAAAGTCTCATCTGACATCCATTTTGGTCTTTAATTTCTTTCCTTTTTTTTTTTAAATTGTGATTTGGGTGAAAATTGTTGTTGTTGTTGTTAAGTACCATTGAGTCGGATGCGACTCATAGCGACCCCTCCTTGGGTTTCTGAGGCAGTATCACTCCGGAAGTAGATTGCCCCATCTTCCAGAGCAAATTCACTTTCCATACAGCAGTTCACATATATTTTGTCTCATGACATTGACTGTAATTTACCCCAATGCAACAGCTTCCCTCCCACTTCCTCCTGATAGTTACCTCTTCCCTGTGTCCATCCCTCCATGCACTCCTGCCCCCAGAGCTGTCTCCCTGTGCATAAACAGCCCTTCTTTCTCCCATGATTGTTCCCTCCAAGAGGTGTATAAATGTTCACCTCATATGCCTGTCTTTTGTTTGGCTGTAAGCCACAGGTATGGGTTCAATTCCAAACCTGAAGGATAACTAGGGGCCATAGTCATATAGGTTGCGGATCGCATGGGTACCAGTCACTTGGACTAATTATTTCCACAAATCTTTGGTTTTCCTCATTCTTCTTTGTTCTGGATGAGGAGAGGCCCATCATTGCATCCAGATGGCCACTTGCAAGCTTTTAAGATCCCAATCGCTACTCGCCAAAGTAGGATGTAGAACAATGTTCTATGTAGTATGTTTTCCTATTTGAGCTTGATGTCCCCTGCAACTATGGTCCTGAACCCACAGGTTCAAACTACTCGCTCCCTCTGGGTAGCTGGCTGTGACCAAGAAGTGACTACAACCTTGTCCCTTGTCAGCTCTACTATACACCTGGGAATTCTTAAGAACACGCAAATACACTTGCAGAACCATTGTCTGCTAGCCCTGTACATGGTCTCGGGCACACTCCCTGCTATCAGTATTTTTATAAATCCAATCTTTGTTTTTAGGAGTCAGTGTGAGGAAGACAATATGAGCAGATTGCTACTCACTGGAAGCCACAGATGTGGGTTCAATTCCAGACCTGAAGGGCAGCTAGGGGCCATAGTCTCAGTGGTTCTACCTGGCTCTATCAGACCAGCAAACTTGGTCCCTTTTTTTTTTTCCCCAAATGGTTTTGAGTTTTGTTCCACATTGTTCTCCCTCTCTATCCAGGATCTCCTACATAGATCCCCCTCCAAGTAGTTGACAGTGGT